GTAGGTAAGAAGGAGCCTGGTCTGGTCGAGAGGTTCTCCCGCGCAGGCGACACGCGGGCGTGGATCGCTCCCCTTCCAGCCCCCGTGCTCCAGAGCAGGTAAAGAGAGCGGCTGCCAACCGAAGAGCCTTGCCGTGATGAGAGGGAGGAAAAGCAGCCCTCACTTTGCAAAGTTCCGGGTCCGGGGAGAACTTTTTCTCCTGCAGGCTCGGCCTGAATTGCTTGCCGTGAAGCCTGCTCGCATTGCCCCCGGCTTTTCCCACATGCAGACTTTTCACGTGCAGGAAAGACAATGGAGGCGTCCGCACGCGTATGGCCTGGGGGCTGTATTTTCGTCCAAACGCTCCCCTGGGCTTGCGTGCATCCTTAGGCTTATTTAATTGTGGAATGTAATCATGCCCAGCTGCACATTAGAGCCTGCTGTGCTTCCAGAGAGCATCATTATTCAGCACTTTGTTTGCCCTTCCCCGTTTCCAGAAAAGACAATTTTGTATGGTTTTAAGAGACCTGACCTTCTTCTCTATATCTGGCTATGGAGGGCATCAGGAATGGCATTACAAATGGACTCACTGCTCGGTAAATAATGCTCTTTTAAAATCAGTCATAGTAGTAAATTATTTTTGCAGCTGAGAAGAAGCATGTTAGCTTGATAGAATGTTGGGAGATGTTAAAATAGCATTAGGGTGGGCATGGGGTAGAGAATTGAGAATCCTTATTTAGGGTGCGTAATTCAAGCTGACTTAAGTATACAGTAGTCCTTTTTTTGCACATTGTGCAGTTTCTGAGTGGAGTTACATATATGCCTAAGAATTCCAATATCTCTTTAACATTTGCCTGTCCGGTAGTCTTTTTGTGAAAGAAAGACTACGGGGAAAAGAAAGGAGGAATTTTCATTCTCCAATTTGCTTCTGAAGATTTTTATCCCTTGCACAATATGTTGTTAAAGGTGAAAGTACAGACTTTGCATTAGAGCCCATTCTGTCCAGGATGCAAATTTTACTTGATTTCTGTACATCTGACATTTTTATTTCAACCTTAGCAAAGGCATACTATTCTTAGCTTACAAGCAAAAAAGAGAGTTGAAAAATACCACTTGTTTATAGAACACTTTATGAATGAGATGTCATATCCCTTTCACAAGTGAGATGTTGTATGAATATAAATAATTCACTGTGTGTACTCTACTACGGACTTCACAAATTTTGGAAAAAGTTGTACTTCAAATTGCCTTCCAAAGGGTGCTCACATGTTAACAGAAGATTTGGAATATATTTTAGAGTGTATTTAGAATACTTGCTGGTCCCTACCATGATGTTGATTGATTAAGTAAATGGGTACTCTCTGTGTGCCCAGTAAATCTTGGTTTTGCAGCAAATGATTCATAGCCTGTGATAGAAGTATCTTTTGGGGGCAACTAGTCTACTTAGTAAAGGAGGCTACTAAAGCTTTTTGAAAAATTAGAGTTCAAAACATAAAGTCATCTTGTTAAGCTTGACTCCTGTTGACTACATGGACTTGCTCATGCCGTTTTCTTGGTAACAATAATACCTTGATATTGCTAAAAATAGGAACAAAGAATTCCATGAAGGAATGTACAGCTAGTATATCACTTTGGCAACTTACACAAATAATTGATGGTGGTGCACATGATGAGACTAATTCATCTTGAAATTCCAATAGCTCTTATTGTGACAGGACTCCTTATATCTCTTTGAGTGGCACTTAATTAGAAATGCATGAATCAGTCAAATTTGATTTCACTCAGTTTTTGTTTTTCTTCCTGTAACATTATTTCATTCCATTTTCTTATTGACAGTAAAAATCCTCCAAAATTCATTCACATCTTTGTGTTGGTTATTGTCTGTATGTGATTTTAGTTTGCACTTTTGACAGGATGCAAATTAGTTAAATTCATATTAAAATGTAAAGTGAATTTCTCCCTATCTATTCTGTTTTATACTAATTTCATTAATTGTCCCTTCTCAGTTGCTTTTCTCCCCCTTTCTTCATTACTTTTTTTTTTTAACCCCCTCTCAGTTTCAAATAGCTCAGGATGCCTGTTCCTTAATGCCTCATCTTATTTCCTGTGTATAAACTGTCTTACAGTCCTATTTCTCATCTTCTTATATCCTTTGCATCAGTATCTGTTGCTTTTTGTCCTTCTTTCCTACTGAGGTGGTTTGTTGTTCTGCACTCTGTTTCTCATCTAACCCCTCTTCTTTCCCTCTTTGGTCTGGAAACCTTGATTTCTGTTAAAGCTACACATTATGTATCCCTTAGTAATCTGTCTAAAGTGTTTGAAATTGTGATTGAAGAGATTGTGAATAAGACAACAAAATGAATATTGAGAACTATGGTTTCATTTCATTCTACTTGTTCTCCAAACACTTATTAAATCTGTTATATTATGTTACTTGCTTTTATCTGTCTTTGGGCATAATGACTGTGGTTGTCAATTCCTTACATTTATTTGGAGATGTATTTTTGCATATCTTTAACAAATACTCAGGCTATAATAAACAATTACATTTCTTTAAAATTACTAGAGTGGTATGCTGGCAGCTTGTGAACACTTTTGCTTTTAGATAGAGAGATGCTATTATTAAGTTGAACTTACATTCGATAAATAATGGAGGTAGAGGCACAGATGATTTGTTACTATATTTGGAATCTTGAAACACTGCACTTACCTTAATGCTTTTCTGCTAAGTTTTAAGGCTGTGCAACTTCAGAAGTTGGAAAATTGAAATATTAGAAGGAAGTGCCATTTGACTAAAGTAAAACATTGCAATTTTATAGAAAAAATTGGAGCTCCTATCATATTTGGTGTCTTGTAATAACTGACATTACTTCACTTTGACAAAAATATATATTCTATTTGGTTTAATTGAATGCCAGTACCAGGCTACAGCCTAGGAGACCATGAGTTCTAGTCCTGACTTAGGCACAAAGCCAGCTGAGTAACTTTGGGCAAGTCACTCTCTCAGCTCTAGGAAGGAGGCAAGGGCAAACCACTTCCAAAGATGCTGCCGAGAAGGCTGCATGGATTTGTCCATGTAAGTTGTCAAAAGTCAAACTGACTCAAAGACACTATATAATGCACTCATGTGAAAAAATAAGTACGCCCACTGTAGTTTTTTCTTTCTTAACGTATGTGGACATATCAGTATTTTTTCCTCCATGCAGAAGTTTTCAGCTGTATGATGTTTGAGGGGTTTCTTGCATGCACAGCCTGTTTCAAATCACCCTGCAACATCTCAGTGGGATTTAGATCCAGGCTTTGACTTGGCCGTTCCAGAACCCTCCATTTCTTTTCTTTTCTTTTCTTTTCTTTTCTTTTCTTTTCTTTTCTTTTCTTTTCTT